TGATCACCTTCCCAAGCGCACCATGGTACTGGTGGTCATGCCCATGATCTTCCCAGCTGTTGGGCCTTTCCTGGTATGAGAAAGGTTGACAAGGGTATGGTTGTCTTGTCTTAACTCTTAAGTGAGAACTAAGTGAAGCGGAGGAATGGAAAACTCAGACACTAGTGCTGTTCTAGCAGTAGTGGTGGTAGTGGCTCAAGGTATGATTGGTAATTATGAGTGAGGGCCCATGGGAATGCCCAAAAATCAGTGGTTAAAACCGTGAATCACTACCCTTGATGTATTGACGTGGCAATTGGATGAAGTAATGTACGTGGAGCCACAACAATGCAGCAAAAGCTGTGATTTCTTTTTCTCTCTTTTTTTTGGAAAAAGTCTATCTTACTATCCTAAACTTTGGGGTATTGACAATTTAAAAAATATCAACTTGGTCTCTGTCGTTAACCGACCGTCAGTTATTTGTTGAAAATGTCAAAACTATCCTTCAAAAGAAGACATTGTTCATTGTCGTCTACCCTGAGACTGAACTGGTTATTTTCAAAGAAAAAGAGAGAAAAAAACATGCAATATGATAGAGAGAAACAATAATTGAAAGCAAAGAAATAACTAGACAAGAATGTGATTCGGATCTAAAGGTAGAAGACAATGACTTCATTAGTCTAAAATCTCAAACACCTCAACCGGTTCAATCTCAACATAGAAGATAATGAACAGTGTCTTCTTTTGAAGAGTAGTTTTGACATTTTCAATAGATAATTGACAGTTAACGGCAGAGACCAACTTGACACTTTTTAAAAGTTTAGGCACTGTAGTGACACGTTTAAAATTCTGGATACTAACTTGACACTACCCCAAAGTTCAAGGTACTATAGTGAAAATTTTTATTTTTTTATACACGCAAAAAAACCTAATGAAACAGGTCGTACCCCATATGTCCAAAAAACCTAAAGAAGCAAAAGGTAGCGATTTCACATGGTTTTAGTCCAATTAGGGGTGTCAATTGGACTGGATTTGGTCTAATCCGATTCAGTCCAATGTGAATCCATTATAAATGGGCCAGTCCAATGAATATTTTGGACCATCCAATCTATTCACATTCATTTTGATTTAGATTGGCTTCAACCCAATCATAGTCTATTGACACCTATATTCTTATCTTATATCAATAATGGACCAGATATTGACTTAATCCAACCCAATCCAATATAAATTTATTATGGACGAATCAGGTTCAATCCAATCTAATAAATATTTTGGACCGATTGATCCAATCCAATATGTCTTGTTAGTCCATCCAATCCGTCCAAATTGATTTTGGACTTGACGGGATTCAATCCAGAACCGGGCCATTGACACCCCTAAGTCCAGTCCAGTGCTACTCCAAGTGGAGTAGTTGATTTCTTCTTCACAGGAATGTTTGGATAGCTATGGTGAGATCGAATTCAGTCTTCACAAGAACATGCTTACACCGTCCTCACAGTGTTTTACAGCCACTAGGAATATCTCCATGTTTGTATGCATTTTTTCATTGGAAAATATTTCGGATGCAAGGCTACAAGAGGTTGTGATGACGGATGTGAACACGGTCTTGTCAGTATCAAATCCGCTTTCAGCTATGATGTATTGATGTCTCTGAGAATGCGGAAGGATAATGAGTTCTAGGTTGCCACGTGTAATGCTCAGATCTCTAGTGGAGCTCAAAGTTAGACACTGATCTCGTATAATCTGTTATTAAATGCTTTAATAATGTATATTAAATAATTTTAGAAAATGCAGGATATATTTAAGTAACTAACTAACTTCATTATTGTGATATTGCTCATTTGCTCTTAATTAGTTAATTAGTTTAGGGTAAAACTAGAAGAGACAAGTTCCATGCACGGATTAGTGTTAAAACAATACATACATGTTCTATAGGGAATAACACATTAAGCGTGAATTTAAATAGTCCCATGTTTTGCTTTTTTATTCTTTAAATTAAAAAAAAAATCACAAAATTTCAAAGGGTTGGGAAGCAATGTGAATATGGGATTAAATTGATGTGGAAACTGTGTTTTAAGTATCAGTATAGATAAAAAAATGTATTTAAATCTTTGATTCTAAATCAATGGAACACATGGCTCAATGATGGAAGAGGGACTGTTTTTTTATCCACTGAATAAGGTAATTCAGTTCAGGGCCTTCGGGCAATCCAGCCATTATAAAATGGCCCGGGTTCTAGATCAATGGAATGCAGTTCTACAACAATTGCTGTTTCTGGTTTATTTTATAGATTCAGATTAGCTGAATTTGATGGCTGTGTTAGCCGGCTAAGGAATGGTAAGTGAGAGAGTGAATGGTTGTGAGTCTGAACAGAAGAATTAAAAACCACAATATTACCAAATAAAGCTGTTTTTTTTTCTAGACAGTGAGCAGTTTGGTTGGATGGAATTGGATTTTCATTCTCGGTGAAATGGCATTCTCCCATTTGAGGGAATGGTCATTCCCTCCCCCTTCTTTGGGAATGAAATCCCGTCCCTGTTTATTCTAATTTTCACTCCCATTTGTCTGAACCAAATAGACTATGGAAATAAATCATTCTGATTATGATTTAAAAAAAAAATTGATTCTGACTACAAATCAAATAGATCCTTATAAGTTATGGCAGTCCACAATGAGATTTCAGGGCTGTTTAGCAAATCTTTTTGGGAAGATCTTCAGGTAGTTCTGACAGTTAAAACATGCATTGAACTTTTGCATGAAGAACTAAGCAACCTGAAGCTAGTTTGGCTATTGCACATTTTTCCGTGTCTTTCCGTGAGAGAATAAAGTGAGAAAGATACGAAAAACTCCATTTGAAACTTTTCGAAATCAGCCCAAAATGGGCTTCTTGCATCTTTTCAGCGCACCGACTATTGGCGGCTAAATCTATTACGAATCAAATGGAAAAAGACTACAGTGTGGTCTACTCAACTTGTAAACAGCCAAAAGACCATAATGAAAGACACGCCAAACATGGCCTTCATTTTTATCTCGAAACGATGCCTTAACTATTTATGTAACCCCGTTGGCATTTCAAAAACATAAAAAAAAACAAAAAAAAAACAAACCGTTGTCCAATGAGACAAATAAGCCCTCTTTTGCTCATGTGATTATAAGAAATTAATTTGCAAAATTTTAGAGCGGTCATAATTTTCTGCAAGCTCACTTTCAATATATATTTATTTATTAGCAGCACATTTGCTACTGTCATACACATGGAATAAGATGAAAATAATTCTACTGGTGTAATTGCTGAACAACATCACATGGTTACGAGCTTACAGTTAATCTTGATGGTCATTATTTTGGGGAAGGACATGCGGTTTCTGATCATAATCACATATAAATGACTTAGAAGGTAATTAATGAATTTACCGAGCTGAAGTCCCCAACAACAGCTTTTTTGTGTGGAAAAATGATATATTACATCTCGCAAAGGTCAAAACAGACCTGGTTCGATGCTAGCTCAATCCGATTTCACAAAGGACCACAGAAAATTTTACCCCAACTTCATAATTGTATATCTTTTGCTTCTCTTCATACCCATTTCGGAATTGCAGGGCTCCAAGTTTAATTTAACAAGATCATGATCATGCAGATCTGAGCGATTTTGGTTGGGGTGGGGGGAACTCAGGCGCTGACATGGATAAAGTCATATTTCTTGACTGAGAAGCCTGACCAGCACGCAATGTCGATATGTCCGAGTGGTTAAGGAGACAGACTCGAAATCTGTTGGGCTTTGCCTGCGCAGGTTCGAATCCTGCTGTCGACGGTTTTTCTTTTTTGGCTTATTTATTATGGAAACTGCATTTCTTTTGCATTTCGAAAGAAATGCAAAATCACTATGGGGCCACCTTTAAGAAAAGATGAGATTAATTTGGGACACAAGGAATAGTATTATATATCGTGGAGCCAAACCTGATCCACAGAAAATCTCGTCCCAAATTTCTCTATATTATATAAATAATAGTTTAGGCACATATTAACAAGTAACACAAAAGCCAAATACAAATGGGGCATGGTTAACTAACCACTCTATATCTTTGTGATTGATGGTTCGTTCATGCCAATATGTGGTAGAGCAGTCATTGGTATGTAATTTTAACTCGTGATCATCAGGCAATTGCAGCAATGGGTAGAAAATGCAGTGAAGTTGGATCCGAAGCAGCAGAGCTTTGGGCTCTAATTCAAGCTCTTCAACATGCTAAAAAGGTTAGGTGTATTCAAGGTGTATACATTTTTAGAGGCATAAGTTTTAATCAAAAGAATTAAGGATCGTCGCTTGGACTAAGGGTGTCAATTGGACCAGATTTGGTCCAATTCAATCGGGTCCGATGTGAGTCAATTACAGATGGATCAGGTCCAATCCAATGAATATTCTAGACCATTTGGACCAGTTCAATTCAATGTCTGGACCATCCAATTTGTTCAAATTGATTTTAACACTTGTACATTTATCTTATCAATGGATCAGATATTGGTTCAATCAAATCTAATCTAATATAAATCCATTACAGATGGACCAGGTCTAATCCAATCCAATAAATATTTTGGACCATTCAATCTGGATTGGTTCAATTCAATGTCTTACTGATCCACCCGATCCATCCAAATTGATTTTGATTTAAACGGGTTCAACCCAAAATTGGTTCATTGACAGCCTTAGCTTGGACAAACCTGGGCACTTTCAGTTAGGAATAGATCAATTATGGGAGTTATGGAGTTGATTCTTTCCTGTAAATATTCAATATGTTCAAAGGGATCTGAATGTTTTGGTCCACAACTTAGCTTATTCGGCTTGTAAAAATGACAAAGATATAGCATATTAACGCCACAGCTTTGTAAATATTGAAAGTATAGATGAATAATACTTCAACTGTTTTGCCTTAAAAAAAGATCAAAGTTGGTGTAGACCGAGTTTTGGGGGCAATTAAGCTGAATAACCAGTCAAAGATAGAACTAACCAAAAAGCAACAAAATCCATGGACACTACTACCTTTTATTAATATTATAAATTAAAGATGAACATAAATGACAACAAAAGTTCTGGAAGGACCTAAAATCCTGTTTACAAAACGTGGATTGAACTAGTGGAAGCCCTTTAACCGATTGCTCATATTTGCAAGAGCATCGACTATCAGATACTGAAAAAATTGGAAAGCACTCAAATCATAAATAAAGCCTGGAGACTAATGTAATTTTTCTATAATAACTACAATAAAAGATCACGGCCAATGTGATTGTAAGAGCCATCCTCCCTCTGACTTGCTGCCACTTGCCAAGCAGTCACAGGATAATAAATTTAAGCACCATTTCCACCTGGATCTAGGGAGCATTGACTGCTGAAATTCCTCCATTTTCCATCCTTTACACTGAGGACGTGGAGTTGTTTTCGCCGACAGTCCAGTACTGTTTGACAGCAACCAATATTTTCTCAGGCACAAGGGGGCCATCCTCATGATCTACCATTTTTGTATTCCACTTCATCCCTGCAATGATCCTCTTTACCTTGATCAGCACATCAACATCGTCACGAAAGATGACCGCCCCTTCTGGTCTCAGAATCCGATCCATCTCCAGAAGAATGTCCTCAGCGTTACATCTGGTTATTTGTGTCACATGTTAAGAGGCATATCATGATAGAATTATAGAGAGGTCTTTGAATTACAAGCAGAAAACTGTTGGATCTTTTAATCAGGTAAGCAAAACCATTAGGTCTTCCAAAAGGCACAGAAGTGCAATAAATAGACAAGTAGCTAACTCCAAAACCATATCTGGGAGAGCCCTAAGTTCACTAATCTAAAAACTTACTTGTCCTTGTATAAGCTGAAAACACCATTTGCATGAATGAGGTCATATGTCCTTGGATATGTAGAGAAGGCTTCACACCTGAACCAGAAGCATGGGAAAAAGGTGTTAGAAAACAAGCATGTAAAACAAAAGCAACCAAAACCAAGTTGGTTTAAAAGCACAAATTTTTTGGACCACATCTACCAGTAGTAAGCAAAAACAACACATCCCCACCCCATATCCGCAGAAGGGAATAAAAGAAACAAAATAATATCAGGAAAGAAGAATAAAGAAAATGCCCAAACCTTGACTTCATGGCACAACAGGAAAAACTATGACCTTTTTTTCTTTTCAAGTCAAAAAGAAAATTTGTACTCTCAACAAGCTCAAATCACAGACAGAAGGAGCATTTTGTTCTTCAGTTATCAAAAGTGGAATTGCAGGGTCTTAAGGGTTAAGAAGATTAGAAAATCAGTAGCTTTATTTAAAAGGGCAAGAATATTTTAATATGGTAAAGCACAAATATTATTACATCAAGCACACAAGAGCCAACAGAGAAGATGGGTATAAATAATAAAATGCTATCCCTAGTAACATGACATTTTTTTAATTTATGCAGAAGCAAACCTGTATCAATACAACTACAGATGGATAAACTATTGTCTCCAAAAGGAAGAACTATATCAAAGGAGGAAAAAAACAAGATATATTCCGATCAACCTTCTTTTCTTAAAAAAGAAAAAAAAAATCTTTCATGTATAAAACCAAGTGTTTTAGTCATTCCTGACAAAATCAAAGTTGCATTCATACACCAGGTATAACATGTTTAGTGACTGGGATGAAGAGCCAAGAGTTCAGAAAGTTGTACCAGTCATGATATATGCCAATCAACCCTCTTTCATATATAACACCAAGAGTCTTTTTTTCTGCAATAGTGGGAACAACATTCATAACCCACAATTTGGGAGATTCAATTGCAGCTGCAAAACTTCCCAATCCAGCATTCATATCCATCATGTTGCGATACCTCCCCGAATCAAGGATCTTATTGATTTTCTTATAAGCTTTCACATGCTTCTTCCATAATTTGTTGTCATCCAAGTATGTTTCAACAGACACCCCAGGAACAGATCCACTAGCTACTCTGGGAGGGACGGCATTAAGCCTCTGAGGAAATGGCTTCAACTCCTCTCCAGCAACTTCATCTGGACTGTTTACGTCAGGATAAGGAGTTAAGCATGCCTCCATCTTCTTGTACCTATTAATGACCCAAAAAGATATAAGTTTCAGGAAAGGTCAAAAACCCTAATAGAAAGAAGGTTCAAATAATAATTAACAAAAAGTATTCATTATTCAATAGCAAAATAAAAGCTGCTCAAAACATTTCAGTGTTGGCCCATAGATTATTATAATACAAGCTTAAACTTTAAGGTACAGCATAACAACTCAAGATGCAAGAATTAGGCACTGGGGTATAAAAAAAACTAATGAAAATGACCTTAAGTAAAAGTATCACAATAAAAGAAGTAATACGAGCATTTATATGCACCTCCAAACACAATTAATTATGCTTTCTATATATTTAGTTTTTCCAACTGCAAAATCTGGGTACCCATGCATTTGGATGGAGCCAGATTGGCAACAAAATTTTAGCCATCAGTCAATATAACCTCAGAAAGTTAGTGTGTTGTGTTGGCATGTTAACTGGGTAGTCCCAGAAGAGATGCGGATTCGAGTCCTGATATTTCCACCTACGTTGAAAAGTTAGTGTGTTGTGTTAAATATCAAAAAAAAAAAAAGAAAGAAAGTCATTTCCTTGTATTTTTTTTTATGGTTTGTCTTATTTTGACTATTCAATATTTGAAGAAACAAGCTTTACTGTCCAGACGAAATAAAACCACAACCTTTATCTGAATAAATCACCCATTGAATCTTGGCATTTCCAGGTGCAAGTTACTACTTATGTTGTGACAGTGGGTATTCCACTTTTAATATGCTTGCATCAGACAAAAACAACATGTACTAAGATCTCAGGTCAAAGGCATTATGATAACGAACTGCATGAAATATCAAATTAAATCAAATGGAACAAGTTTATTACTTTTATTGAGCCATGGACTTCTAGGTCTACATAGTTTTCCAAGTCTGTGTACACTCTTGTCAAATTTGCCAGAAATTCAGTTTCTGTTTCATAAGTAGGGGTACCAAATCTGATGGCATATAACCCATATGAAACAAGAAAGGGTAATTATATAAGAAGTGGATCCTGCATTGATATGTTCTGCTCTAGGAGGGTCTTAGACCTCAAATTCAACTCACTCAGACTACTCCAAGTTAATAACCTAGCAAGAGGGGAAAGTTACTTTACAAGATATTACCAAATTAGTAAAAGAACTTCAGAAGAACAATGTGAAGTAGAATAAGAAATGTTCTTGGGCTCTCAATAAAATTTAGAGACAAATAGAATTATGAACAACAGTCTCTGGAGAGCCAAATCGGCCATGTTTCTTACAGAACTTGGCCCAGAACCATACTAAAAGACAAGCCAAAGGTCAAGGCAGATGGCAATTGGCAACCCAACCAGGAACCCAGCCAATGCAGGTTGACACATCACCAATGTTTTAAAATGCGGAGGCATTCCACTACCTAGAGGTGTGAGGCGTAGTTCAGAACGTAAGAGGCGTAAGCCTCCTTTTCTCTTTTTTTTTCCTCGTTCCTTTTTTTTTCAGTCTTTTTATATGAGGTGTGCATGAGGCGTACGCCTCTTGCACCTGAGGCGTATGCCTCAGAGGTGTCAGCGCCTCTGGCATATGCCTCAGGGCGTTTTGGGAGCGCCTCGCCTGGAAGTGTGAGGCGTACGTCTCCCACGCCTTTTAAAACACTGCACATCACTTACAAAAAATTACAAAATAAAACATATTTAAGACACTTTGTGTTTTCTGTATCTTGTGGGTGGATTTGGGTGTCTACCATTTTTATGTCCTTGTCATGCAAAGTCTACAGAAACACTATTAATACTTCAAGCAACTAATAAAAATAAAATTTCCAACTAATCATATCTTCATGCTTAGATTCAATAATAAATAAAGTTGACCACATCATAAAATTTTTCTTTAAAGAACCTAATTTTCTTGGGCAGCTACCATCCAACAATTTTTAATTTTTTATAGAGTTGAGAGTATAAAAATAGTACTTACCAGACATCATCTGGATTTTTGGATGCACATATATTAGCACGGGAATCATCTTGCCTCCCACGACATGATTCAGCATTTAAGCTCTTTCTCCAGATGGCAATTTCACCCTTCTCATACTTCTTTTCCCAACAAAGAAGTTTGGCAATCTCTTCAATGTGGCTTTGTTCCCCCTCAAGGTCTTCCTTAGTGCGTTGCCATGACTTATAGTTAGTTTTCCAATTAATGGGAGGACCAGAAAGGACCCAATAGCCTCCAGGTCTAAGAACTCGATCTACTTCCATCATGTACATTCCATCTGCAAAGTTAGAAGCCCATATGATTTTATCAAAATAGTCACTTGCCAACAAAACTGATACAATCACGCACCAAATATAACTAAAAGAAATGATTGCTGTGATAAAGTGACTAGAGCTTTTCTACTATTAATTTATGTTGGGTTAACCACAATATTATCCTTACCATTTGCTCCCCATGGAATTAAGCAACGAGAACAATGAGCCATATCAAAGGCTCTAGATGGGTACGGCAGTTTAATGGTTCCAAGCACACCAATAACAGCAGGCACACCTCTTTCCAGAGCAAATTGAACTTGTGCTTCATGTGAATCCCTTGGTGCAAATGACATGGCTATTACATTCCTTTTCAAAAGGTATGCTCCCCAACTTGCAACCTGAGCATAATGCCATTGTTAGTGGATCAACTAAAACATCCAAATAGCATGATCAATAAACAAATAAAAAGTATTGAAAAACAAATTATATGGTTTGTGACATATCTAAAAAATGAAACAATCACATAGAAGCACTGAACATATCAGCCCTAAAGGAAAGGAAAAAAGGAAGTGGCATTCATATTAAGAAATGCAAAGCACATGGATTCAGAACAAATTCAGTAGGCACTCAATAGAATTCAACATACCCCACAACCAGTGTCAAGTGCAGTTCTCACTGTCCCATTTTCAATTGGGATTACAGAAGCAAGTTGGTCAATATATGCATCTGCTCCTTGAGGAAACTGTGTTCCTCCACCTGGAAATCTGAAAACATTGCCCTCATACTGAATCCAGTTCTGAACAGCCTTCTCAATTGTCAAGCTCTTATATGGCGCATTGGCATAAGGTACATAATCACGGCTCTTTGGCCAGGGGAAAGGAGTAACATATCCTTTTGGTGCCGGAATAAGACAATGCAGCTTCTCTTCCTCTGGGGGACAATGTCTTTCTCTGTAGTTCATATTTTCCCTAGGGAAGGTCATAGCCCGCATTTGATCTTGGCAGGGAGTATAATCAGTGTAACGAGCATCACATGGCTTGAACACTTCAACTTTTGAGCCAGGATCATCAATCACCCCAGCTTCACCACTGTGGTGGGTCTCAAAATTCAAATTGGAAAGGACACTGCAATCTGTTTGCTTGGTTATCTCCACAGCTATACTGTCACCCTTCCCGAAACCACTTTTTTGCCATGCTCCCAAAATATAAAAGAAACAGCACAAACCAACTACTATAAATATAGATACAGAGCTCCGTGTCCTATTATCAGCAGAGTTCATTTTCATAGCCATGATGTACCTGAAATAATTGCAGACTATTTTAGTATAGCTATGTAGAATTTGAATAGAAATAAAGTAAAAATTCAAAGGACTTAACGCACATGGCAAAGGAAGACAAATTATCATTAAAACTCGGAAGTACCACGAACAAATCACTATAGGCCTAGTCAAATTAGTCCATGTAAACAAAGGCGAAAAAATGTTATCCCTCCAATACATTTTCTTTCAAAATTTGAGCTCAGACCAGTCCCCTGATCCTACCGTTCTGAAATTTTCGCCCTAACTGATAGTTCAAGATGCTTTAGAAGGTAGGACGTCTAGGCATCCATAGTCATGAAAAAAGGGATCACCGAAGTCAGATTTATACAGTTAAGCTAACGTCCAGATCAAATAACGTATAAGTGAACCTCAAAGGTAATTGTGCTGGAGCCCCGTTACATATATCTTCCAGATCTAATTTTTACATCATAGATTTCTAGAGTAAAGACACCTTACTTGATTCAACAGAACCCAAGATCAAGTTTCACACTTCTCCCGGTATAAATTAGTTTTCGTTTCTTTTTTGTAATATCAATCAGTACAGTTGAAAAATGGCCATGTAAGTGGTAAAAAAGGTGGCATTATACATATATCTATCCTGTAAGATCACGTCACAGCAAAGAAAATCTAGCATAAGTGAAAACAATTAAGACAAAGATCAACGAACGCAATCAAAAATTAAGGGGACCGTCAAAATTAAGCTAAAACACCGTGTACTCACAACAGGTTTACGTCGGAAAACAGAAACAAAGTCATTGACACCTAAACCTTAATAAAAATGTCATATTTGAATCGAATCCCACAAAAGAGATCGGGAGAGGGTGGAAAAGGAGAAAAAAATGAAACGCAAGTAAGAAATGATCAAGCAAACAATCACCAATCGAGAAGAAGTTATATCTGCTACGAATATCCAGATCTCTTACCAATCTCGGAACGAGAAAGGAGAACAATATGCAGATCTCAAGACAGCCTATTAATTAAGTCTCCTCATTTCAATATTGAGAGCCTCTTCACTCCGTGCGAAGAAAAGCTCGAAAGAATGCAAAGAAGCAAATAGAGAAACCGACCTCGCTTGGATGAATGAGAGGAGTTTCTGAATCTCTGAAGAAGCCTAGCTTTGGAAAAGAAGAGAAGCATCAAAATGAAGTGTTACTGTGTTAGTCGACGATGAAGAAATTTATGAGTTAACGAGACGCGTTCTCCGTTCTCCGTTCTCTTCTCACTTCCCAGGACTCACTCATAAGTCCTGTACAACATGGAAAATCTTGGGTTTTTAAGTTTTTTTTTCTCTCTTTTTTTTTATTTTCCACGTAATAAGAAATGAAATTGAGGTCATAGTGCACACTGTTCCGCCTATTTCATTACATTTTCCTCCCATGGGACCAGCCCACGGATGTGAGATTGTGAGTTGCCGGTTAATTACAAGGTGACAAAAGATACCCCTCACCAAGTTAGAAAGACAAATTAGGACACCCCTGTTGGTTGGGGTTGTATTTGTTCTCGCAAGACCTATGATGGTTTTGGCCATGGCTGCAAGTCGGGCCGGGTTAAGTCAGGTTGTGGTCAATTCTAGTTCAATCCTAAGTTTTAAACTCTCAATTCTAATTCTAACTCAACCCAATCCATCAAATTCTAATTCTAACTCAACTAAATTCTTTCAACCCTAATTCAATCCAACCCAACACAAAGCCAATACAACCTTCTTTCCATTTCTTATAATCTTGTATAATTCTTAATCTTATATCTTAATTCAACTTTCACTATATATATTAATCCTATGCTTTATTAATATTTGTTTGTTGATGTTTTTATTGGTTATTTAGGCTCGGTTTGGAAGGAGTACAAATACAAATTTGTAGAGTGCAAAACCTTGTATTTTGTATTATTTTATATGTATTTGTACAGTACATATTTGCATTTACACTCCTTCCAAACTGAGTCTTTAAGTACAAAATTCAGAAAAAAAAAGTATTTGAAATGACTATAGTTTATTATGAGTTATGACTTATAATAGATCTTTTATAGGCAAACAAGCTATGGGTGGTAAAATAACATAGAGGAGATAAAGAATAAATATATTATTAACGTTTTAATATTTTTTAATTATGATTAAGTGAAATAATTATCTTAAAAGAAATAAATGATAGTATGTAACGAGGGTTATACAATTTTCATGCATATAAACAAATCAATATATCATATATCATATATATAATATGATATGTATTATAGAGTCGAATTGGGTCGGATTGCCCAAGGGGTTAACCCTAACCCAACCCAACTTTTTTGGTTTGGGTTCGGGCCAACCCAGCCCAAATTGCAGCCTTATGATTGACCGCTGCTGAACTACAGAATGGCAAAACTCTTGATGCTCTTATCCATATAAAAACCGTGAAGGAATAAAGCGAAAAAAAAAAAAAAGACTTTCAGTGCAATTAAAAGTTTTAGGCCTTCTTTGGATAGATTTTATAAAGTATGATATAATATTTATATTATATGTTTTATACTTCTCTTTTCATACATTTAAAATGTATGAAAAACTCTAAAAGCATGGGGTCGATTTTTCATACTTCGTACTTTTGGTGAAATAGTAGTTTCGTTTTGGTGCAAATGGGTGGTCACCACCCTTCAATAAAATTCTTGAGTCACTATTAGAACTGGACCACTGTTGCTAGTCTCAAACTGCAAAACCACTGAAAACCATCATCGGAAACACAAATAAATATAGCATATTTTCCAAAATTTTTTACCAAAACTATTCTCAAAGCAAAAATATCCAAACATAACCTTTTTTTTTTTAATATTCGGCGCAAATCATAGTAATACTGACACAAGCAAATCTGCTTTTTAACCCTAAAACCCATTTCTTCCTCCATTCCTTGAATTTTGAAGGTATTCACAATAAAGCCTTGTAAAAAAATTCTAATGACTATTCTGTGGTGCTAATGGGCATTAGATCTGCTGCTCCTGCTCTCTATGCTGTGTATAATGGACTACATAATCAACCATGAGTCTGAATCAGCACAAAAGTGTTTTATACAGGTAGGTGTCACTTGTCAGGTGTGGATTTTGTGTGTATGAAACAGTTGGGTGTATTCACTGATGATTGATTGCATAGCCCATTATACACAAAACATGCTGGAGATCACATCTGCGCCTTATATACATTTCAGCGTGTATTGAAAACATTTTCGAATATGTTGTAGACATTTGTGGAGCGCCCTATGTGGGGTGCATATGTAAATTCAGCGTGCATCCCAAATTCCCAAGCGGTGATGATGTATGTCACTCAAATGGAAGGGGAGAATGAGAAAATAAATAATGCAAAGATAGATCAGTAGAAATGCTATGTACGGACTGTAAATTTTATTTAGAAGACATACGTACCCTCGTTGGAGAGTATTTTTGTCATTTGATATATAAAAGGAGACGAATCGACGATTTTGTGTTAAGCACGATCTGAATGACTATCATGGTGTTTGGAAGTGTGGGTGTTTTTTGGGACCGATTTTTAAGAAAAAACATTTATGTTTTTAAGACTCGTTTAACACATAAAAAACGCTTTTATCACGTAGGTAAAGAACAATATAATGCTGTTTGATGAGGTGATTTTCATCACCGTTTTTCATGTATGTACTAACAAGTACCATGGGATATATATCAGTCAACCGTTGGGGAAAATGGTTCACTGACATGCATTGGTGGAGTCCCGATTTTCAAGGCATGCTCGATTTTTTAATAATCAGCTGAACCAAACAATGCAATACATGGGCATTTGTTGAAACGCCTATGTGGATCCGATGTGGCATCGTTTTTTTTTTTTTTTTTGAAAAACAGTCACGGTTCCAAACATCCCCTATACCGGTATACCCACAGCTTAAGCATAAAATATAGTGTGCTTCACACCATGCCTTTAAAAGGAATATGCCCTAATAAAATCGGGGAAATAGCATTCTCCCAAACCACTGAAGTTCATATACACATGAGAGGTCCCTCTAACACAATATTTTCAATCTGTCCTTAATTCAGCTGTTCGAATCATCACCTGGTCAGGATTTCATGTATGATTCAGTAAGACCTATCAGACGACCAAAAACTGTTGATTTGGTCAAAAACTGTTCAACCTATTTAGTTTTCCTATTGATTCGTTCGATCCAGTGATCGGGTCGCAAGTTACAAATTCAATGCATGCAAAATTTTTAGAAGCCATAACTTTGCACTTTGATGTCTAATTGGGATTTTTTTTTTATTTTGGGTAACTTTTCAAGATCTATGCATCCCAAGGTGCCATAGGTGCCTTGCCCCACTATTTTTGTAAAAAAAACCTTTATTGGCCTCAATTCACTTTTTAATATTTTTATAAATAAAAAATATAAAAATATAAATTAAATATAAAATAATATATATAACATATCTAAAACATATTTATACATTATTTATTATATGTCCAATCTGAACCAGTTTAATATGAGTTCATCATGGATGGATCAGATTCAAGCTAATCTGATAAATATTTTGGATTGGATCGGTCCAATTCAATGTCTTATTGGACCATCTAACTTGTACAAATTGGTTTCAAGTCCGACTGCATCCAGTCTAAATATGGTCCATTTGACATTCCTACTCTTATCTTCTATTAATGAATTGGATATTGATTCAACCTAATCCAATTCAATATAAATCCATTTAGATAAATCAGGTTCGATCCAATTCAATAAGCACCATGGACTAGTCCAATTCAATACGACTTATTAAGCCGTCCAACCGATTCAAATTGGTTTCGATTCAGATGGATCCAACCCAAATCCTATCCATTAACACTCCTAAACCGGATGATAATATACTTATAAAAATATTCATATCATACGAAATTTTAGATTTGTTGGAAGAAGGAAAGCAGGGAAATTTATTCACAAAAACGACTTTCTAAGTTTCTAGATTTGATCCATGCTCCGCAGTGTATACGGTATGACGTATGATACTTAAAACCTAGCTTGCACGCCTATATCAATATGCAATGTTACATACAAACCGACGCTTGCGGCTTATGTCATTAGATGGAACCCTTGAAGTTGAAGGAATCAAAACCAAGGGCCGTTTGGGGTGGTTGAGCTGAAGCTTCAGTTATGCTGATTCAACTGCTCTAGATATGCTATTCTGAAACGGACAGCCCTTCAAGTTGACCAATTGACAGCCGATTTGAGCTTTATTTCAGGATTTTTAATTTAATCAAATATTCTAACATAAATTACAGGAGTTCAAATCTGCCCCTCACTGAATACACCAAAAAACGTTACAGTGTTTCACAGTACATCTCAATCTTGTTTTGGAAATATCTCCCAATAACAATTATCACGCTAAAATGCGCATGTGAGGCGTTTCTGAGAAGCATTCTGTGAAAGGCAGATATGAACTCAAATCATAAAGTGTTCGTGTGAAACCCACATCTGAAAACCAGAAACCATTACGCTTTCAGCCCTCCCAAACGGGCACCAAAGTTATAAATGACGGTGCGCCGGTGCGTTTTTTTTTTTCGTTATTCAGCCAAATCACAGGTTTCAAGTTAAAAAAGAAAAAAACCATTATCATGATAAGAAGAATCCGTTCATACCTGATTATTTTATAGTCAAAGGAGAATAGTCCATAGAGTAGCGAGAGACCCGGTCCCAGCTATGTCGGTGTTATTGTGTATTACAACTTATACACTGCACTTGTGCTAGGTTAGCTAGCTGTAACATTTCTCCTCGTAAAATAAATGGATACGACGATATTGTGACAGAGATGGTTTGACATTCAAATCTGTAAATTGCCCTTTTTTTGTGATTAGGTGACTGACGTGTTTCAATTTCATACCTTGTCAAAGTGTAAATCAGATGATGATGGGACGCTATGATCAAATGGAAATTCTATCAACCAGATGGTTATGAACTTATGATCAATAATGTTTCTGAAATTGTAACCCATGTTTCTGAACTTTGATGTACGCAATTCAAGATCCGAATGAAGAGGTGAATCTGTAGAGATGCAGTAGATTCGGTCATTCGTATTTGAAGCAGTGCATGTGCCATGGATACAGTGCATGTAATTATATAAAAGCACATACAGTTAATAAATTATTATTAATCTTCACGTGTTTGTTCTTTTACGACTCTTACTACTCATCATCATTTATTCTTCACCCAGCTATCCCATGGTTTCTCCACAAATATATATATATATATATATATATATATATNTTTCTCCACAAATATATATATATAT